ACTGAGCCATCCAAAGGCAATTTTTATCATTAGTCTCCCACTCCTGCTACAGAAATCCTTTCTCTTTTGTCACCTCTTTATCATTGGTCTATAAGCCTGTTTCTGTTTATTTTATTAATTTTTTTCTCCTTCCTTCCTTCCTTCCTTCCTTCCTTCCTTCCTTCCTTCCTTCCTTCCTTCCATTTAGGCAACAGTTCATGATGTACAGAGAAGCCTTTAGGCCGAACTTAAAATATGTAAGGAGGCAGCTTTAGGCTAAACTTGATTTAAAATTCTCTTACCTGTGTACAGCGAAGTTTTTCAGAAGTTAAGTGATATGCTATATCACAATAGACTGAATGCAGAAGCAGAAATGAGAAGCCAGCTGTCTTCTGATGTTAAAGAAATTAGCAAAACTGTAAAGCAGTACCATTATTTTCACTAATTTTTTTTTAAAAAATAGTTTTCACAAAATTGTGTTATTTCTGTTAACATATAATTTGTTTATTAAGTTTATTATTGTTAGTTTTAAATGAATCAACCAATATGTTAAAAAATACATATTTATCCATAGATGTAATCCACATAAACAAAAACTCTCTGGGGTATTCAGTAACATTTGAGTGTAGTCTTGGAACCAAGAAATTTGAGAACCACCGTGTTAGATTATAGCCTGAGCAGTCAAGTATCAGCCTTCACTTCAGTGTAACTTCTATAAAGTGCATGCATTCTAGGAGAATTTTAATAGTTCAAAACAAGCCCTGATAATTTGAACTCCAAATTATATTGGGAATCTAACCACTGCTAACCACTCTCATCACCTATACTCTAGTCTACTTAGACTAAAGTTATTTTGTCCAAATCTGTTTCATTGCATTCACTTGTCCCGCTATAATCCATTCTGAATATTACAGTCAGGACAACCTTTTAAAAATGAACTTCTTTTCTTGTCCATTGCTTGTCCAAACCCTCCATTGGTTTCCCGCCATATTAAAAATAAACTACTGCATAGCCTACAAGATCCCACATGGTCCCATTCTGCTGGTCTCAACCTCCTCTCTGAGCATTCCTGATGGTCACATTGGCCTTCTTGCTGTTCCACTGACGTTATTCCCTCTGCCTACAGTGCTCAGATATTTTCATTGCTTCATTTACCCCTTTGTCATCTCTGAGTTCTCACAATATAATGCTCTAACTTCACCCCACCCATCCTCTTTATCCTCTTATCCTTCTTTATTTCTCCATTGTCATTTCACTGCCTGACATTATATTCCATATTATTTGTGTATTGTCAGTCTCTCACTAGAGTGAAAGCTTCATGAGAGCAGAGACTTTGACAGTCCTACTTATCACGGTATGTC